CACGGCGCGGTGCCATCAGTGCCAAGTGGCGTTCTGTGCCGGCTGTGCCCAGGCCCATGTCCAGGTGAGACGAAGGAGAGGAAATCACTCACTTGTTTCATATCATTAGGGCTTTTAATCAACTGTGCTTACGTTTTGTATAATTTTTCACTCTTCTCGTTGTATGTATCTGTATGTATATATATATACTATCTTTTAGTCTTTAAGGAAATATTTGCATGATTCGCCATACATGTTTTTACCTATTGTATCCTTCCCAACTTTACTAAAAACTAAAATACTAACCCTCCCCCCCCCATCCCTGCGTACTTCCCACTACCTTAGTTCTCGGTAAAGAGTAAGTATTCGGCGAGGATTCCCGTGGCCAGACGTGTTCGTGCGGCGCCCATGGCAGACGGTCGCGTGTCGAATGTCTCACGCCCACCTTTTGGCCAGATCGATCAGTCTGGGACCTGGAAATGGTAACCCCAATACGAATGGTGTTTGGGGTCTTTTCCCCTTGTCTTCGGTCTCCGGTCTCAGCTGAGGATCACGCCACTGGTCTCAGGAGTTTTGAATTTTCGTTTTTTTTTTTCTCAAATCCAATGGAGTTTCTGGTATATTTCGCCATTACTTCGACCAGGTCTGCTGTAATGACTGCAATTATTGTGATTTGATGCAATCGCATGCCTTCGTTCTTGCACACCTCATTTCGCCCACTCGATGAAAGGAAAGTTCCCCTGCTAATAAATGCCAAACAAGATCGAATTCCAGTCATTACATTTCGTTTTTTTCTGTTTATCGCGTTTGTATATATTGTTTTACCGCGTATTTACTGTAAAACTCAAGATTGTAAGGTTATTGCAGAATGTCACCCAACAGAAAAGAGAACGCGACACTTTAGATCCAAAGAAAACGGCAGAGAATATACCAGAGACTCATGAAAATATTTCTTGCCGAAGGAAGAGTAGCAAATGGACATCTCGTTTTTATTTTAAAGAAAACGGTTCTTTTTGTGTTTGAATGATTATAGATAGATAGATAGATATACATAGATGTGTATATATATATGGAATATATGAATATTTATATAAATATATGTAATGCATATATAGATATAGTATATATGTATATGTATATATTTATATATTTATATATGAATATATATAGATAGATATAGATAGATAGATAAATATGTAATATATATATATATATATATATATATATATATATATATACATATATATATATATATGTATATGTGTGTGTGCGTGTGTATAGATGAGTAGATGTATAGATAAATAGATGTGGATAGGCATAGAATTATATTATATATATATATATATATATATATATAAGAGAGAGAGAGAGAGAGAGATAATATCGATAAAGCGATAAATTTATAGACAGACAGACTGATATAAGAAAGAAATAAAAAAGAGAAGTATGAAAGTAAGTATTAGCTGTATGTACAATCATCTTACGAAGAAACCATAACAGGATCGATGTTTCCCAATTAATACGTCAGGAAAGAAGACTGGGAATTATGTAGCAATTATCTGTCCTCGGTGCAGAAGGAGGAGAGGTTTTAAGAGGCAAAGATGGCGGAATACAGGAGGTTAATCATTCTCTTGGTGGCGGATATGAAAGATAATTTATCTCCCTTTAAACCCAGCATCAGAGGAAGAATTAGAGATCTGGCTGGACACCGATTTCGTTGTTGAAGTCGCGCCCGAAGTGAGAGCAGGAATTAAACAACCGTAGAAAGGTGTGGTAATACGTATACGCTTTCATGTGCTTCAGACATTGGCTATCGTGTAAAGTCCCACGTTTTCGTAAAATTCGTAATAACCGTAGAAAGGTGTGGTAATACGTATACGCTTCCCTGTGCTTCAGACATTGGCTATAGCGTAAAGTCGCACGTTTTCGCAAAATTCGTAAATTCACTCAGTTCCTCCGCCTCTCGCCCGCGTGTAGATTCCGGAGGCTTGAGGCAGGGTCCGAGCACAAGGTCTATATACGGTCGAGCACACGCCTCGCCACGCGCCTGTGTGCGGCCCGCGGCACATTTCAGGCTTACAGTCGACCGTTCTGCATGATTAATGAAGCCAGTCGTTCCTCTTTTAAGATTATCACTTACACTCTTATAGTTTGTTTGTATTTCTATTAATTGGTCTGCAATGAATGAAATAGCCTGAGTTTTACATCAACCATATGACCTTAATACTGCCTTAGTAAAATGTGGTTTTCATCTAATCGTGATTATCTAGGCCACATATTGTATACTAAGGTGAAGTGTAGCCTCTTCGGGTAAATGAGTGTGCCAGCCCTAGGGTGAGAGAGTAGTATAGTTTCATTAAATGCATTTGTGAAGCTTCTTGCCTTGGGTAGGAGTGTGCTTCTTTTTCTTCTTGTGTGTATGTGTGTGTGTGTGTGTGTGTGTGTGTGTGTGTGTGTGTGTGTGTGTGTGTGTGTGTGTGTTTAGCCGAGGTCTGGAGTATCCCAGCCATTCATAATTCTCGTGTGTGTGACGGTGTGTATCCCCCCCCCCCTCCCCGACTGGTTCATTTCTTGTCTGCCACATGTTGGACTCCGCCGGCCCTCCCGGCGTTCGGTGCGTACGTGTCGTCGCCGCCGTGGTCGGACGGAGCGGAACGAGGCGCGGCCGGGGCGCTGACGAGATCAATACAAGGTGTCCCGCTGCCTGACGGGGGATCCCGCCAGCTCACCAGGTGGCAGAACTTCCCCTCGATTTACTGGTGCGATTCCCGATACCTGTTGTGGCATTGATTGCTGGGCGCCTGGTCACGGGGTTTCCGGGTTCTTCGCGGTGGTCTCCGTGAGGAAGAACGCTGTTTAGAGATAACTAGTTTCTGTTTAGAGATAACTGTAGTTCTCTTAACGCGACCCTCGTGTGGTTTATTTTAATCCTGTAGGTAATTTGTGAATAATAACTTGGAAGAGTTTTGTCTACGAATCTACCAAGTCATACGACTCGAGAAATAGAACGTTTTCTTATACGAATCCGAGTAGGTGGTGGACGGCGCGAGCATGTGCGTGCGCCGGGTGACGACGACTGTGTGAATGGCAGCGCTGGGTGGCAGTACTCTCCGCCGCCTCCCTCCCGCCCTGCGCTCTCTCGCTGGCCCCCCTGTGAGGCACTTGTGGATGGAGGACCCGACGTCTCGTGTCGATATATATGCTGCCTTGGGACTAGCGACGAGAGGTGTTTGTGAAACTGTACAAAGATAAGGAAAATACAGTAGCCACCATCAGTAGTCGTCACTTTTATCTTGTGATATCGAGTATTAGCGCTAGCGAGAGGGAGGCTGTTCATAGAGTTCGTCGGGTCCGTGATCCAGTCCCCTACCGGGCCCTCTGGAGTGCATCCCAAGGCGCTGGACGCAGAGTTCATCTCCCTCGCCGAGGATACCCGTGACCAGCCATGAGCCCCGGTGCAGTGCCAGCATCCAGGGGCATACCCCGCCCCTCCCCGGTAGGAAACCCCGCCTATCGCCTTTAGTGTTCACCCTCTAATTTATCTTCTCTTTCGTCGGTCTTCCTTTTTGCTCACCGCCGCCTTTGTTTCCCTGCTCTTTGTCCCCGAACAATGATGGGTGACCCGTGACTACTGTTTCCGATACCGCAGGGAAGAATCGCCCAATTTCCCACACTTATTTCCCTATGAATCCATTTATTTCACATCAGTTTATGCTACTGAAATTTTACTTGACAATTTTGTGAACCCATTAACCGAATTGCAGTGACCAACAAGGCCCTTATTGGACTAGCAATTCAGAAATTAGATTATAAGCAATTTCGGCAGTCGCTACTTACAGGTAACGAGTAGTTTCTCTGTCTCTCGTTAGGCTTACTGCTCATCTCGGGGAAGCAAACGAGCGCAGTTTTCCAGATCTTTGTCATCACCCTCGCTTGTATCGCCCTGTTTCATCTGGCACTTTCACATTATTAGTTGTTCCTCAGTCTCCGTGACGGGGTCGCCTCGGACCTCCTTCCCAGAGGATCCCCGTCCAGTCACGTGTCCTCAGGGTTAATGTGGGGGTTTTCGTGACTGAAAATAGTCTTCATGTTTGCATTATTCATCTTGATTTTGCAATCGACAGGATTCTGGCAGTGAGAGTCACAGTGTGGTGAGTCTGGCTGACAGTGAAAGCGGCGTGCCAGACACTAATGGTTTCCATGACGACAATACCACACTCTACTGCCCCTCTCATCAAGGTAAGTAGATTTCAGGTGTCATGGGCAAAAAAAAAAACACTTTATGTATGTGTAAATACATGCATTTACACTTTTTGTGATTATATATGTATCTATGTATCTATTTATCTATCTATATCTTTATATGTGTGTGTGTGTGCGCACGCGCGTGTGAGTGGATTTATTGTATGTATATTGTATAATATACACTATTTATATTATGTTATAGAGATGTGTATGCGTATATGCAGGTACATGCTGCATATACATACACACAACACACACACACACACACACACACACACACCCACACACACACACACACACACCACACACACACACACACACACACACACACACACACACACACACACACACACACACGGGCGTGTACGAGTACAACACTTTACCCATTTTCTATATCTGGCCGTAAAGAGAAAACGGGTAATGTTGCGTCAGTTGAAAAAAAATGTAAGGCTTAGGAATTCTTTAGTAGTTGCGAGGGGACTTTCCGCACCTTCCCAAGTTGGTCGCGAGAGACGAGTGTGGAAGTCGGCATGACCGCTCTCTCAGAACCCGGCCGTAATCTCCTCTCATTTAGTGTCCTTTGAGTGGTATTAAACGAAATCTCATTTTATGGGTTTTAATAGAAAATGGCGTGTGGTAAAGATAAGAAGATTGTTAGGTAGCTTGTGTGACGTGAATTTATCAGAAGTGTGACCATCGATCGTTATTTTAAGTTGCTGAGAAAAGTAGAAATTTCAAGAGAATAGACAGAAGACAGTTGGAAACTTAGGGAATTACTGGACATCTCTTTAGGAATTATAAAAGTAATTTTATATTTGTCTAAGACTGCATTTGCTGAATTGCTGGATTTATTTCTGATTTATTTATTTCTGATAATCGATATCAGAATGTCAGACCTGTATTCAGTGGAAAGCCTTATGCTGGAAGCTAAATTTAGAAAAAATGTGCAAATGCAACGCGATTCAAAAATTAAATAGCCTAGAATTTTATCATTAATTGATACCGAATCGTCAAGGGAAGGTCACCTAATGCCGCATACGGAGTCTTGCGGAAGGTCATGCGTATTCTTGTGAAGGAGTGGTGGGGGGGGGGGGTTGCATGTATGTTGGGTTTGTGCATAAATGTGTTCAGGATTGTTTTCAAAGCACCTATGTATGTAATACGTAATGCAAACATGCATAAATGTTATATACACATGTTTATACATCTATGCATATGTATATAATATATAATATATACATATTATTATAATATATATGTGTGTGTGTGTGTGTGTGCGTGTTGTTGTGTGTGTGTGTACAATCATCTCTACAAAGGTGTATGTGCGTTTCTCTCCGTACTTAACGATAAATATTTTTTTCTAAAATATACCAATACTAAACAGTACAAATACCTTTCCAGGCCAGACACTACGATTCTATTGTCGTGACTGCGAGACTGCAGTGTGTAGTAGTTGCACTGACATAGAACATCGCACACATAACACACTCCATCTCACCGATGCTGTGGACGAACACAGAGCAGCGATGCATCAGCTCATAGACAGAGTCACTATGCAGGTTGGTTGGATGATCCTCAGTTCAGGTTTTTGAGCAACTTTGGTGATAAATTGTACGAAAAGAATGTAGAATTAAGGACACTTCTGTGAGTAGTCATTTTATAGTGATCGATTTTATTTAGTGTAGGACAGAAGTTTATGCTTTGAGAAGCAATATTAGCCATGATCTTGCAAAAAAATCTTTAGTAGTTTCATATAATTTCAAAACAAACAAAAATTATTGTACCACAAATAACAACAATGTTAAACTGTGTATTAGATACTCAGTTCATCCTTTTATTTAGAAAATATTGAAGCTAATAACCTCTTAAACAACTACAGCTGCCATGTGTGAAGGAAGCAATCTGTGATATTCAAGATGTTTGCCATAATCTGGAGGAACGAAGGGCAGATGCTGAGAATGAAATCCGAAGGTGTTTCAACACCCTCCATGAATTGCTTGACAAGAGACAAACTGCACTTATCAACTTGCTCAACTCCATTGAATCAGAGAAACAGCAGACTCTAGGTAATTATAGATCCCTTGTTGATTTGTGTCTTCGTTTTATGCATCCATACCTGTGGTAGATGATGAGCAAAATTTTTATTAAGGCTAAACTTTACATGACCACTTTCTGCATCACAGGCAATCAAAGGGAAGAGCTTGAAGCATGGGTAGGAGGTGTAGAGAGTGGATGTGAATTCGTAGAGAAGGCCTTAACGCACTGCCCAGCCATGGAGGTCGTGCTGGTGAGGAAGCAGCTTGGGGAGCGACTTATGGACTATGCTAACATGAATGTGCCTCCAGCACCCAGAGAAAATAGTCATCTCAAGTAAGTAATACCATTCTATTCATGAATTACAGTGTAAATTTTAGTAGGTGTCTAGAACACAAATGTTACACACATAGGTTCAAATAAGAATGTATTATATATTCAAGGTGAACTTCAACTTGGGTGATTTCAACTTCAATGTCTACTTTTGTGGCAGGCCCTTTGTAAACTGATCTGTTGAAGTAATTTACATCCATTTTCATTTTAATATTATGAGCTTGTTTTTGTTCTTTTTCAAGATTGATCATTGTCTTTTACTTTAACTCTTTAGGCATTAATAACTATGTTCTTTATTCATCAAGTATTACTTCTTTTCACATTTGAATAGGGTTTAGTTTGCCTTTATTGATGAATCAGTTATTAAACTTGTATATTATTTTTTTCTCTATAGAACATAGAGATACAGAATTCATTAAATAATGTTATAGGTGTGTGTGTGTGTGTGTGTGTGTGTGTGTGTGTGTGTGTGTGTGTGTGTGTGTGTGTGTGTGTGTGTGTGTGTGTGTGTGTGTGTGTGTGTGTGTGTGTGTGTGTGTGTGTGTGTGTGTGTGTCTTTCCAATTTTTTTCTCTTTATCTATTGTACACTTACCTTTATTTTCTTCAAATCAGTATTATTCATTATTGAACTCTAGATGATTAGATTCAAAACTATTCAGTATTCCCTAAAGGTACGATCCCTAAATTTCTTTTATTAGGTTTGTTATAGGCAACATAGATCCTTTGAAGACAGCATTTTTGCATGTTGGAAGCATTCAAAGTAACAGCGCAGTACCTCACCAGACAAGCTGCACTGGAGAAGCCCTTCGACAGGTAAGAACTCCAAAGGGAATGTATGTAGAATAGAATTTTGCCACTTATAAAATGTAATGTTTCACTCAGAGTCTGTTGTGGAAAACTGCATATATGAATATTTAGTGTATCCGAAAAGTGCTGATCAATCCATCCAAATTATGCCGACTTACTGCTGTTTCAGGTCAGTGTTGGGCGACAGTCTATTGTAACAGTGGTAACTAGGGATCATAAGGGCGAAAAAGCAGCTTGTGGTGGTGCAGAAGTCACTGCTACATTGTCTAGGACAAGTTTAGCTGTGCAACGGCATGGCTCCAACTCCCCTCGTGCCTCTCTCTCTCCGCGTGCCTCGAGTAAAAGCCCCTGTGGTTCAAGGGAGGAAGTGTGCCAACCGCAAGTGCTTGATTTAAACAATGGTACATATGAAGTAGCATTCACTGTCCAGTGTGAAGGCACATACTCACTTGAGGTCTTGCTGTATGGCCATCCAGTGAGTGGCAGTCCTTTCACAGTAGCTGCAACAGCTGCCCTAGAAGAGGATAGTGGGAGTAGCCAGCGTTCAGTGCCTCCACATACTTTAGCTAGACAGACATCACATTCAACACAAGTAAGAGCTTTTATTTTGTTGAGGTGAATTATGTTTAGTATTTTCAACAATAATTGATATATACTTAATGGTAATAAGTATTGTACACATTTTAATCTCAAGTTTGATTATGTTTTATTTGCTGCTTTATTTTAGAATACTTGTCTTATTTAGAAGTTAGATTATTTCATTGAATTCTAGTGTTTATTTATAACAGTGTATTGAACTGCAATCTTTCACCAGGTAACGTCACGCACCTCCAGAACTTCTCGCCGACCCCTCTCTCACCGGTCCTCTTGTTCACGAAGGACAAACCCCATTGAAGATGATATGCTGCTCAGAGTAGGAAGGAGGGGAAGAAATAGAGGAGAATTTGTTAATCCACAGGTAAACTAGGGTAAACTTATACTAAAGAAATTGGGCATTGATGAACACTGTGTACTGTATACCATGGCATTTGCATAAATGTATTTATTCTTTGATTCTCTTTTCCAGGGTATCACATACAATTCTATCAAAGATGGTCGCATTGCTGTTGCTGACTCAAATAACCAGTGCATTCAGGTGTTTACCTTAAGTGGAGAATGCAAATTAAGGTAATGGTTATTCTTTAATACTGTCCATTTACATTATTTATTAATGACATCTGTATATAGCCTACTCTTTTTTTTTGTATGTTTGCTCATACACTGTAATAAATTGAGTCAAATATTAAATTGCTTTTGAGGACAACAATGCAATGTCTATGCTTGTTGAAGATTTTTGTTGTTAAAGTAAAGTCTAACTTATGACTGTACATCCCTCAAAAGGTTTGGAGTCCGGGGTAGAAGCACGGGTCAGCTGCAGAGACCAACAGGAGTAGCAGCTTTACCAAATGGCAATTATGTTGTGGCAGATTATGAAAACAAGTGGGTTTCAATATTTGAACCTTCTGGAAAATATGTCAGCCGTATTGGTAATGGGAAGCTTCTTGGTAAGTTACTGTATGTGCATTGTAATATTTGATTTTAGTTTCATTTTTTTGTATTCTATATTTTCATGATTGATGTACATGTATTAATCAAGAACAGATTGCAGAATCTTGAAATTTATCAATTTTTTATATAAATGTGTAGTCTGTTTATGGAGTTTTATAGTTCATGTGATATATATTATGATTCTGCTTAGATAATTTCTTCAAGTGTAATGCATCACAAAGAATAAAGAGAAGCATGATCTTGAAAAACACAGATGGACTATTAAAGTATTATGCATCTTTCCCTTCTTTCAATCACTCTTTTTGACATTTTATTATCATCAGAATCCAATATCAATACCTTTATCTTAGATATTTCTCATAGAATGTTAAGTTAAGTTATTAGAAGGGGTCATCTTGATATTTTTACACATTATTTCTTGGTGCTGTAGGAAAAATCCAGTAAGGCTCTAACAAGTCAAAAGTTTAGCACTAATTCCAAATGCAAGACTATCTATTGTATAATTTTTATTACTTGCAGGGCCAAAGGGGGTCTGCGTTGACAACAATGGACACATTATCGTTGTAGACAACAAGGCATCATGTGTCTGTGTGTTCCAGCAGTCTGGTAAATTACTCACCAAGTTTGGAAACCGTGGAACTGATGAGTTTCAGTTTGCTGGACCACACTTTGCAGCAGTTAATAGCAAGGGACAGATTGTGATTACAGATTTCCACAATCATTGTGTTAAGGTAAGGCTGCAAAGTAAATCTATGTAGTAAATGTATGCAGGGTTATATCCCAGTTTTCTTTCAAATCTTTGCACGCAACTGTAACCTTATGACACGTCACATAATGTTTCAGTGTATTTTACTTTGATATCAGTATGAAATGATGAGCAGACTAAGGACTTTATTTCTGTTCTTAATGTTTGTAGGTTACTCCATTACCTGAAGGTGATTGAAAATAAATGAACTACTATATTTCATTGTTTTGTATGATCATATTCAGTTTTTAAAGCAATATGTTCCACTTATGCAGGTAGTGATATGAAGACAGATTAATTATCAAAGTTTTATTTTACTTATGTTATCTTTAGAGATACATTTAAAATCATTACTGGAAATAAGTAACTGAAAGTGAACTATGAGAACAACTTTACATCTTAAATCATGAAAATGCATTGTCACTCTTACTGTGGTCCTCTGTTCATTGGGCTAATAGAGTGATAAAATTATAACCTTACCTGACTCTAAAAGACAGATTTTAGTCAATGGCCTGCAGAATGCCTGCATCTGCTGTTGCAGATCAATGCAACTGGCTAGGCCAAGAGAAAATTGGCAGAGGGGTAGACTTTAAAAAATCTTGCAGTTGCAAGTAGGATATATTGCATATATACACCTGTTTTATTTATATTAACTTTAATATTTGTTTCTTTATCAGGTATTTGACAGTGATGGTGACTTTTTATTCACCTTTGGGACCAGTGGTGAAGGCAATGGGCAGTTCAATGCTCCAACTGGCATTGCTGTAGATTCCAATGATAATATCATTGTAGCTGACTGGGGAAATTCAAGGATTCAGGTTAGTTATCAGTATTATTTGGGGGCATGTAAAATACAGAATTGTGAATGAAGCAGAAAGAAAGTGTTGCAGCGAAAAAAATGTTTGCTACATAAATGATCAGGGAATTTCAATTTTAAAATCATATATATTATTTTTTCAGGTGTTTGATTCCCAAGGTTCGTTTCTGTCCTATGTAAACACACTGGCTGACCCACTCTACGGTCCTCAAGGAATGACCCTCACTCCAGATGGCCATATCTTTGTGGCCGATTCTGGAAACCACTGCTTCAAAGTATACAAGTATCTCCAGTAAACACAGATCTTTTATAATAAGGGTGATCACTTCATTCCTGAGTTGTTTAGAGTGTTACTGTTGTGAATCCTGTGAATAAGTTTGAATGCTAATTTTTTCAGTTTTTGTGATAGTTTGACTTTTTTTTTTTTTTTTTTTTTTTTTTTTTTTTTTTTTTTTGAGTAATATCTGAGATTTAATTCCAAGCAGAAAACACATATACAGTCAAAATAAAGAATAAATATGGGCAAAGGGAACTGAATCAAATATAAATGATCATAAGTAGATTCAACATTCCTTATATTATTTTTGTATTGTTGCCTTAGGGTTTAATACATGAAGAGCACTAGAAAATAATATCACTAACCCATCACTGTGTATAGGTTAAAGATGGACCATTTCTTTCTTCATATATTGTGCATCTTGATTCAAAGTATCACATCCTTCAGTACATATGATTACTGTTTTGTATGGTTCCTTTTCAAGATAACTTAGTTTTCAGTAGAATTTGTGGGGTGATCAGCACAAGATCTTCATATTTCCAAAAAAGGCTGTGGTGCTAAAGTTCCAGAAGCTTCTGGATTGATGAACTTTATAATACACAAACCTTATTGTTAGGTAATCATAGACTATGTAATGCTTATTTCATGTCCCGAGTTGTAAAAGATATTAAGTCGGCTTCCACTACTGAATACATGGTATGTTTAACAGTTAACTGGACAAGTCTTTCATGTAATAAATCTACAATACACATCACAGTGGAGCTATGAATAGGGGTATGCAGAAGAATCATCCAAGCAGACCTGTGTACTGAAATCATGAAATTAGAATATTTGACAATTATTGAATTCCTTTTTTATATATCTAGTAATTATCAGTAAGATATCAACACCCTGATTCATATATTCAAGGGCCAACACCCTATTTACATCTTTTGATAAAGACTGTAACAAATATTTTTATTAATAAGAGGAGGGATATGTTATTTCTGATATAATGAGCAAAATTTATTTTTTAACAATATATAACTTAAAGATATTTTACAGCAATTATTCTCGTTTTAAACATCTGGCTACTTGCAAGAGATACATGCAATTATCTATCTTCATTTTACTGTTTGATAAGTGTTCTCTAATATAAACTTTGTTGGCTTTTTATCATGTAAGGTAAATATAACCTAAAAGTGTGTTTCAATTGTCAAATTATGAATGCTAATGTAATAAGCTTCATTAACAGTCATTGTATGACCATTTCAGTATAAGAGGAAATGACCATAATTCTGACTATGACGTCCCCAGGAAGACAACTTGTATAATAGTAGTTGCTTTGTGTGATCTCTGTAAGTCTGCAAGCTAGACTAAGATGTGTATGAATACTAGTCTGATATGTATAGATTTGTATATATAATGTCATTATGATACACGTTTATTAGAAAACATTTACAGCTTATATGTTTATTCATAACATTATATAATGCAGTTTATTTGCTTTCAAAAATCTGTGTTGCCAAGAATCACAATAAAGTTTTGCTGGAGGAATCCCTTCTTATTCCCCTTTTTTACACTGACCGAACCTGATGCTTTTTCACATACATTTTGGAGCAGTATTTGACAAATTCATGATAAGGTCCATTGTATGTGCGTATCAGGTTACTTAAGAACAATACATTAAACTAGGTTGGAGACAGTGAATTGATATCCGGAAAACTTCATGAAATGTAATAGGTAGGTAATAAGACATACTTTACAGGAAAAGTAATAGTTGCTAGCATTAGGAAACTAAACAGAATGTCGAAACATTCTTCAGCAGACAAACGGAATCCTGTGCACATTTGTTCCCTAGCTTCTCTCAGCTTTTGACTGAGATCGGGAATCGCCCTTACCATGGCCTCAACCCTTGCTTCAACTAATTTTGCATGGATTTTTCTTCTTCCTCTTTCTTTTTTCTTCTTTCTTCTTTGCTTCATCCCTTTCCTCTGACCACTTCCTATAGTGTGAGAGTCATGCTGAAAGCATGCTTCTTCATTTCTTTTTACTTTGCTTGCTTTCCTTTCCTCTGACCACTTCCTATAGTGTGAGAGTCATGCTGAAAGGATGAAAGACTGGCTGCCATAACGGCCTCCTTATGGCGACCCTGAAGGGCAGACCGTTTCCTTTCCCCACTTATTTCAGGCTCACCATGACCAACAGTGAAGATTCTTTACTCTTATTAGGTGCATGAAGGCTCACCCCTTCATCAACTTGCCAATCTAAATGTAATTTATCTGGTTTCCCTACCTCTACCTTGGACCACAGCTCCGACCCTCCTCCCTCCTCGACGTTTGTTGTCGACTCTTATCTATTCCGAATCATCCACCCAGATCATTACTTAACCTTCAGAATACACCCTTCCTCTCTCCCGTCTTCCACCTCATCTCGTACTCCCCCCTCCCAAATTATTACTATTCTTCATCCTTAATCTACTCCTCCCTACAATACTACCTCACTCCACACCACCCCCATCTTCCTCCCGCCCTCGTCCTTCTACTGTTTCCACCTCTGCAAACCTTTTGAGTACTCTTTTTGTCCCAGCCAAGTGGGATCCATTCTTTATGATTCCCTCTACAACCCCCATACTCTGACAATATCCTCCTCACCCAACCATGTCCCCAAAATATAAATAGGCAAAGTTTCCTGTTGCAGATTTCCGATCATTCACGCCTTGTTACAGTTACATCCGAGTCCCAGCTCATGCACCATCTACCCTGACTGACTTCACAGGCAAACCTCTTCCTGATCAACCTCACTCTTCCCTTAATATTTGTACTGGAACTATTTCCGTCTCCCCTACTACGAGAAGGACTGGTCAGACTGAAAACGACCTGCTTGCCTGCCTAGTCGACTATGATCCGTGGCAGTACAGTGCTACACTATTCCTCACAGAAGCCAGCATAAGCCCTTCGCAAATATTACCAAGATTAACTTCCGTAGACATGACCTTCCTCAGGAAGTTTATTATATTGGTGGTGTCTAGCCCTGTCCATATCGACCTCTTCTTCGTCAATGTCAAACACTGTCGCTCTACAGCCCGCTGCCCTCTATGTGCCCAGCTTGGTCATGACCAATAGACAATCTAAACATTCCACCCCATCCTTTACCACATCCTGCCCTACCTTTTCCTCTACTCCTTGGACATCTAACCCCTTTCCTCACAAGAAAACCTTTATTTCTCAGACACCCCCGCCAAACTCCCCTCCAAAAACTCTTGAAGACATCCAAAACTTCTTAAAAATGATCCAGGAGACCACTCCGCTCCCTCATTCACCCTTCAATCCCTCTATTCTTACTCTCTCTACATTCAGGGTATTTGCTGATATCGATCCTCCTCTTCAAGTTCCCCCTACCCTTTTTCCTCATACTCTCCTCCAAAGCATCCCATCCTCTCCTTCTCCATGCACACTACCATTTTCTCTTCTTTCCCCATTATCCTTACCACTCCCACCTGGATGCTCACGTGACTCCTTTATGTCGCAACAGTGTCCTTCTCCGGATTACTCCCGTCCTGACGTTCTTCCAATTACTTCACCACTTTCTTCCAATTACTTCCCCTATTCCTTTATCTCATTCTCTAGATTCTTCTCCTCCTTCTCTAACCTTTTTCCCCCTATATTACTCAATGGTTGTTTCAGAATGGCACTTTTACAGTTTTCCTCATACAGTGTTACTCTCCCTTCCTCAGACATAGATACTTTCCATTTGATCTAATCGCCCTATACCCTGAAACCTTTCCCCTTTTACAAACCCCAGCCCAACATTATTTTTTCGTAATATGTTTACTGCTTGATCCACTTGATGAGATACTCGTTACTCATTTTTCAAACAATTCTATTACTTAAGGTGTAGTTGCCTATGATAATGCCAAACAGTCGGCCGAAATTCCCAAGTACTATAGTTCTCTTCCTTAAACCCAATAATCCATTGTCCATTGTCAACTTGTGGGTGGATGGGGGGGATATGATCATAAAAAGTGAGCCTCAGATTTCTCAGCTGGCGCAGCGATAAGGTGCTGGTCTAGCAGCAATCTTGCGGACCTGCGTTCAATCCCATGCCCGGTCAGTGAGTGGTATCCCCGGCCATTCCTTGCACACAAGGGGAGATTTGGGCAAAATAAAACAGACAGTATGTCGCAGCAAAGAATATCCATTGTAACAAATGGAATTAAAACTAAATCTAAATCTAATCTAAATCTATTTTCATCAGCTTAATACGGAATACTGCCACTTTTTGCCCACACACGCCGATATGACTTTCTCCTACGGCATGGTGGACTCCCCTCACCACCCCTCACGCCGGGATTGTGTCCTGTGGCGTTATGGTAGATTAAAAGTTTGACGCAGTGATCAAAACTGCCCAAGATGTTCTTGAAGTTTGAGCCCCATAAACAATTAAACGAGTTGAATAAATAACCGCGGCAGAATGTTTTGAAATAACGAATAACTTGACAAACTGAGAGCCCCTTTTCAGTCATACACTATCAGCTTTTCCACCATCGATCTGTGGATTATAGTTGCGAATTATCTGCTGAGGTTGGCAGAGTAATACATTTTACAGATTATTATAAGAACTCATTAACGGTGTTCCATAACTCAATCAGATTATCAAAAGTAGGCCTTAAACGGATTGCCATATATGCATTGTCACTTATCAAAAAAATATATATCTATACTCGTAACCTCTATCTGAATTCAATCATAGTAATACCATTTGTGATTAGCCAAAGGTCAGAGGTTATCAGTTGCAAGAATCAGATTACTCTTTTCCATTACATCATAAACAAGAAAAGTAAAAAAAAAAAAAAAAAGGCTTACTTACTTACTGTTGGAAATTTACATTAGATCGGTGTAAAAATCCCTGGCTACCTAACAGCATCTCATAAGCACGGTTGGTACTTTCTAAACCGATCACGTGCTAATACACTAGAGATATCTATGAGAAATAAATATGGTTAAGGTAGGTAGACCATCTATGTGATCAAGCTGCCCCACTCCCCCGTACTACATCTATGAAGATTATATTTTACGATGCACACAACTACATATGTGAAAAAGACATTTTTTTACGATGTATACAGTGGCACCTGTGAAGATGATATCATCTCAAAGTATAGGGGAGAATAGGTCACCATTATTTATTTCTCTTTCATCCATACATTAAAATCATGAAAAAAACACTATCTTGGAATACCAAGGGAAAATTTGGATACTAGACAATAAAGTATCTAAAAATATAGGGGCACGTTGAACTTTAACTTTGACTTCCTTAACTGTATTTAGTTCTCCTAGATCACTAGTGTATTAATCCTAGTTGGCCAGTATAGAAAGTATCAACCTTGCTTATGGGAAGCTGTTTGGCATACAGGCATTTTCACACCTCCGTTGTAACAAACATACTGAATGTGTTACAAGGACCCTTTAACAAGCAGCTCTCATGAAAAACAGCCTTGGAATTTAATTTAAAAATAGATTTGCATTATGACTGAACCAAAGACCAACATTACATTTCATTGATGTTTTTATGTATGAGCACATGCAACATTTGGAGCCGATAACGATACATCGATACTTGAAAATTCGCTAAAGCGATTTGAATACTTTGACTCTTTGTAAATAGTTAATCTGATATCGACACGAAGACATGAACCACCGATGCATCATCGCCGATACTTTATTGTAAGACGATATCCCAACTGATATTTAAACATTTCATGTACAGCAAACAATGACTGCAGCAGGAAAGTGTTTTACACACTTTCACACATATGTATACATATGTATTCATATGCATATATGTATATATATATATATATATATATATATATATATATATATATATATATATATATATATACATAAACATGCATATATACGTATTATATATATTATTTATATATATGTATATATATGCATATATGTAAATGTGTATATATACACATATACATATGCATAGACATATGTGTACCTATATACATACATATGTATATCCTTGTATATATACATATTGTGAAGAAGTTGGGGGTGAAGAGGTGGTGGAATGAAAAGGGTCGTGGCTTGCTGGTTTATTGGGGCAAGAAAGGTGCCGAGGGCGGAGGTTGGCCTGTCTTGTTCTGCATCTGCTCCTGTTCTCCTGTCTGCTTGGTCTCTCCCAGTCTGCCTCACGAGACTCCTTTTACCTTGTCCTGGGCAGGTGCCAGTTTCTGTATTTTGGGGTGTCAATACTTCCGGCCGTGGCAAAAGGGGTGAGTTCGCCGGAATTGCTCGAGGGGGAGAAAGTACTTGGTCAAACAAGGAGCGATGCCAGGAAGGGAGGCAGCAGCTAGGACCTAGGTGCAAGGTGAATCCATCCGGAATCATATACATATATATATATGTATATATATATATATATATATATATATATATATATATATATATATATATATATATACTATATATATATATATATATATATATATTATATATATGTATATATATATATATATATATATATATATATATATATAT